TTTTTTTTTTTTTTTTAAACTAAACATAGTCTGAGGAAACTGGAAATGTGAGGTGAATCTGGTTTTCTCAGTTGCAGGAATGTCTACAAGCTAGAAAAACACTTTCCAGCTTACTGTATCTTGCGAGGCGGGTAACACAACACCACGACAATCAGGTACTTCTAATGATTTCCTTCACATCAGAGTTTAATACTTAATCATGTCTCTGTCAGCACCTATGATCAAGTAATATCTGTCATAACAGATTATCCAGGCATCACATAAACCTGCTGTTTGTCTTCAAGCTTGCTCCAACAAAAAGGGAATTCATGTTTGTGCTGTTCTTTGTGTTGTAGCAGTTTACAGTACTACATTTTAATAATGCGTATTTGCACCCAAAATTGCAACAAACACCAGTGTGAAAAGTACCTCAGGGAGGAGGGGTGTTTTTTTTTTTAAAGCTGTACTGTGGACAGAAAACACTTCCAGCTGTGTCACATGACCTACAACTCAGGAAAAACAAATCTACTAGCATACATTGATTCTGTATTTTTGTGGCCTTACTGGTGTGACTTTGTATAATAAAATCTGTGTGACATATCAGCGACTGTTTTACTCCCCATAGTGATTATGATTTTATAAAGCTTTTATTCTTTTTGAGGCAATAAGTGTATTCACGTGATGTCTTTATTTCACTTGTGCCCTGAAGTTGTTTACAATCTCCATCCTCTGTAATAATCTTATTATGTGTATACAGCAGTGAGTGCAATCACAACACATTTGAGATTTCCATAATGAGACATCAGGCAGACAGGAGATTCTCCCAGTTTTTGGGAAATACTTTTTATTTCAATAGTAGCTGTGTCTGTATGTTTCTCAAAGATATAATTGGCATCATTATCAAGAATGTAAACCAAACACAGAATGATATGGATTCCTAGTAAAAAGGTGCCATTATCAAAATAAAGCAATTGTTTTTGCTCTGGAGGCTGCAAGTGTTAGTGACTATTAACTATTATTCATGGCTTGGCTTCGTTCATGGCTTTGGCTGGATCTGTTCGAGTGGTAGCTGAAGCTGAGTTGGGTCTCTTAGACGTCTCAAGTCCTCCTCCACCTGACACACAGAAAACAGCAGTCATACAGACCCAGCGATTAATTCAGTGAGATCTCCAGATGGCAGTTCTCTTAAACAATTGCAATTTCATTAGAACTTGCTTTTAGTCCTGCTAGCAGTGTTACTTTGGTGATCCTCAGGCTTTCCCTCTAGTGCCACAATGAGGAACAATATTAATTATCAGATTAATAGTCATAAAATTCCTGGCCTTGGGCAATCACTTCATTCCTGAAAGTCATTTGTCATGTACACTTCCTTGTAGAAAACAGATATCCTGGCTGGGTAAGACCTGGTTTATGCTTGACAGAATCAATATATATCTTGCGGAAAAAATCAAAAGCTTTCAAAATATTTCCATGTATACATATAATACACTATCTTTCATTTTTTCTCTTACATTTTTAGTATGGAAATACTGAAATTGTAGCACATGCACAGTTTACATTATTCTTCTTACATTTGTATGTGTCCAAAACGTGTTACAGAGGTAGCGTGTGGCTACAGATTTAGCTAATGAAATTTTAAAAAGTGATCCAGTCAACCAACCTGAGACAGTTCTTCCTTCAGTTCATTGTATTTTGTCACGTTGAATTTCTTCCTGCTGGCGCCCTTATAAAAGTAACGCAGGAACTGTCTGTCTTTAACGTCTGGGTATATATAATCCTGAGGGAAAGAAAAAAGTAGGATTGCTATTAATGTGGGGAGGAAAACATATCTGCATTCATTTTGTAGAAATGCTTTGATGATGAGAGTTAGAGGAGAAGATTAAAATCCCTGTTATATTTGTCTATTAAATTTGAAACCACAGCCGGCAGCTAGCGAGGCAGTTAGCTTAGCATAAAGACTGGAAACGGGGGAAGTCTGCAGTTATGTGCTTAACTACTTCTAGTGTGGCACAGTGACTTCCTGGAGTCTTGTCGTCACGGTGATGTCATTCAGACTGAACCAGACTAGTTGTTTCCAGTCTTTATGCTAAGCTAAGCTAACTGCTGCTTGCTGTAGTTTCCATTTTAATGGACAGTGGTATCGATATTCTCATCTAACTCTTGGCAAAAAAGTGAAGTATTTCCAAAAATGTCAAACCGTTCCTTTATATTAAAATCCACAACAGGAAGAGAACAAAGTTTTTGTCTTGTGTCCCTGAGACTTGCCTGTTTGGTAAGGACGTAATAGGCGAAGGCTCCAATGCTGGTGGCGTAGGTAATGAAGTAAGTGACAGGCTCAATGACGTCCCATGAATAGACCCACCAGGTGAGCCAGGCCAGAGCACCACCCTGCACAGATAACAAGGCCATGCCGGTCCAGACAACCCTGGAGGTGTGGAAGTCTGCTGTCTGGGACAGCTGTGCCTTCATCTGTCAGGCAGTAAAGGAGGGATGGGTTACCAGCCATTTCATATAACCATGTCCAACAAAACTAACAGGTCAGAGATGCCATCTGTCGCTTTCAAAACAGTACTAAAACAGACTGGGATGTAACAAGGGAGAAAGAGAGGTTTAATGGCATACAGATGTTGAGACACATCTACTACCTTCTCCAGAGGTGACAGCTCCTGTTTGAGGCTGTCCAGTCTCTCCAGCAGCTGCCTCTCTTTCAGCAGGTGGTGTTCAGGCAGGTGGAGCGCTGTGTGCAGCAGATGCACAACATGCTTCATGTCCTCCAGCTCCATGGCGTGCTCACTGGACGTATACACTGCAGCAGAGGACACAACAAGGTGGTCGGGATGAGAAAGTTAGATGAAATGTGTTAGATGAGTCATGCCTGGAGAGATAATAACTGTTATTTATCAGCAGGCCTACGTTGTAATTGCAAAGCAGATAAAATGAAGACCATTCATGACTGAACGATGGAGGGAAATGTTGTTTGTACCCTTTTCAGGAGAGAAGACATTATAAACTGCATCATTGATGACGAGCTGGAAGTCCTTGTCCAGCAGAGTGTCTATCAGCGTGGTGTTGGCTACGCGCTCTCCATCTGTCAGAAGAGGACAAAGGTCGAATCAGTACTTTTATTGCAATAACTTCAACTTTATAGCCCAGCAAAAATACACATAATTAAATACTAGACTGGTGTATGCACACCTGCATACACCACATAAACTTCAGATAAATATTGCCTGAGAGAGATTCAATAATTTACAGCCTTAACCAAGTTCATCACTGCAAAACAATAGTTCTTGTCCAGGAATGAGACACATGGGAAAAATAAGGAAGACTCCAATGTACCTCAGTTCTACAATGTCTATTTCCTGAAATTAGCTAAATCTACCTGTCAACCTGCCTCAGTTTCGAGCAGCACTGTGCGGGTATGTGTTGCATTTGCATTGTAGTTGGACAAAAAACAGGTTTTTCCAGTCAGGGAAAGTGAGTCGCACTCCTTATTTACATTTCAGGAGCGTTGCATTATGGACCAACAAGGAAAGCTAAAATACTGAGATATTTCAACATAGATCGTTTACAGTTAGCCAAAAAAAACCCACCAAAAGCAGTGGTTCCCAACCTGGAGTCCCACGATAGATCAGACGGTTCACAACAAGATTAAAGGGAAGAAAGAAAAATATATATATTTCTGTTACAGAAAGCTATCTTTACTTTTTAATACTTTTCTGAAATATTTTGCTTTTTTGGTGAAATACTGAATACAAATTCAAATTAAGACTAACTCATAACTCACGTCCAGACTAAATGCATACTGCTCCTTTTCAAAGCCTGCCGCATTTATTACCCACAATGCAACCTGACTGCTGACAGTTTGGTCGGAGATTCGGGTGTGTTATTTCCTCAAGCAGAGATGAGTAGCGGGCTACAGAGGTCTGGTAAACTC